AGGGTTTAGGGTTTGTATTCAGGGAGAATATTGAAGGATGACGATTCAATTAGTTCTCATGGATTAAAGGATGGACATATTATGCATTTAGTCAAGAGTGTTGCTGCAGCAGCAAGCAGCACCCAGCAGCAGCAGCAGCAGCAGCAGCAACAGCAGCAACAGCCGCAGCAGCAGCAAAATACAGCATCCTCAACTCCTGCTGCTTCTACCACTGGTGCGTCTGCATTGAGACCCCAAGGAGCAAACCCTAGTTCAGTTCAAAACCCTAAACCCTAATTTAGGGTTTTGATGATAGCCTCTGCACTCTATTACGAGTCATTCAAGGGTTTAGGGTTTAGGGTTTAGGGTTTAGGGTTTGTGTTTTATGGCGCAGGCACAACTCCAGGTGTAGGGGGTATGGATCCATTCCTGCAGTCGATGCTATCTGGAGGTAAAATACATCTAGGGTCTAGGGTCTAGGGTTTAGGGTTTAGGGTTTAGTTAGGGTTTAGGGTTTAGTTAGGGTTTATGGTTATGGATGATTATATTAATCCCCATACCTGTTTAATTCTTGTGATTTAGGGTTTAGGGTTTAGGGTTTAGGGTTTAGGGTTTGTATGTTTTTGTGTCTCAGGTCTAGGTGGCGGGATGGGTGCCTCAATGGGGAATTCTATGGGGGCCCCCATGGGGGGCCCCATGGGGGGCCCCATGGGGTTCGGTATGGGGGGCCCCGAGATGATGCAAATGATGCAGAGCCCTTTTTTTCAGCAAGCAATGGAGTCATTGATGCAAAACCCTCAAATGTTTCGTAGTATAGTAGAGAGTGTACCTGCATTAAGACCTATGCTGGTAAACCCTAAACCCTAAACCCTAAACCCTAAAGAGTTATTTAACAAACACTGATGATAGGATGCTGGCAAAGTTTCAACTTCTGGATCGATATATATGAGGAGATATCGAGGGTTTAGGGTTTAGGGTTTAGGGTTTAGGGTTTTGTTGGTGTTTTTTGCTTCAGCCTATGATGCAAGGCATCCTTGACAACCCTGAACGCATGCGTGCCATGTTCAACCCTCAGATGATGCAGGTAATTAGGGTTTAGGGTTTAGGGTTTAGGGATTTAGGGTTTTCAAGGGTTTAGGGTTTAGGGTTTAGGGTTTGGTGTTATTTGTTGCAGGCCTCTATGCAGATGCATCAGGCGATGCAGCAGATGCGTCAGCAGCAATCAGGGGGTACAAATACAACAGAGGGTGGTGCAGCCTCTGGGGGGGCCCCCTCAGGGGGCCCCATGGGTCCTGCTGCATTCTTACAAGCAATGCAGAATGCAGCAGCAGGAGGTGGTGGGGCCTCGGGGGCCCCCGGTGCAACTGGGGGGGCCCCTGGTGGTTCCTCTGCAGGTGGGGGTACAACAGGAACAACAACAACGACAACAACAGGGGGTACAACAGGAGGAGCAGCAGGGGGGGCCCCCCCAAACCCTTTTGGTGCGGGGGGCCCCTCTCTTGCTGCTATGATGCAGCAAGCAGAAGAAATGATGAGAACAAACCCTGAATTAATGTCACAAATGATGCAGACATTCATGGGTGGGGGGGCCCCTACAGCAGGTACAGCAGCAACAGGGGGGGCCCCTGGTGCTGCAGCAAACCCTTTTAGTGCCCTTGGATCCTTTGATGGTCTAGGGGGTATGGGGGCCCCCTTCTCTATGCCTGTGGCAGATACGAGGCCCCCAGAGGAGAGGTAAGCAGGGTTTATATAAGAGGAGGGTTTATAATTAGGGTTTATTATTAGGGTTTAGTATTAGGGTTTAGGGTTTTGAGGGGTTTTGAGTGTTTTTTAGTTTTTTTATGGTTTTTTATATATATTAAGGATTTTCTAGGGTTTAGGGTTTTTTAAGAATTTTTTTAGGGTTTAGGGTTTAGGGTTTAGGGTTTAGGGTTTGTGTACAGGTTCGCTTCCCAGCTACAGTCCTTAACAGATATGGGGTTTATAGACAGAGAGGCGAACATTGCTGCCCTGCAGGAATCAGACGGAGACGTCAATGCAGCAATTACTCGCTTATTGGAGAGGGGTTTAGGGAATTAGGGTTTAGGGTTTAGGGTTTAGGGTTTAGGGTTTAGGGTTTGGAGAGAGGGAGAAAAAAATAGACCCCGATTGGGGCAGATGGATGATTTGTATGAATATATATACAATACATAGTATGTATATAATATATATATAAATATAAATATATAAATAAATATATAAATATAAATAAATATAAATAAATATAAATATATTTATTTATATTTATTTATTTATTTTATATATATTATATATTTATTATGTATATTATACTTGTATATATTTCATATATTGTATACACTATACGTATATATAATAAATAAATAATAAATAAATAAATAAATAAATAAATAAATAAATAATTATATATATAATTATTTATTTTATATATGTACTCTGTGTGTATATATACGTATTATTTATATAAATTTATGCATATATATAAATAACACATAAATATGCA